ATGATGATGATGATGATGATGATGATGATGATGATGATGATGATGATGATGATGATGATGATGATGATGATGATGATAATGATGAGGAAGATGAAAAAGATGATGACGAGGAGGAAGATGAAAATGATGATGATATTGAGGAACATGAAGATGAGGACAGCGAAAGTAAAGTTAATAAAATTGAGAATACAGACGATGAAGATGATTTTGACGATGCACAATCAAAAGATCAAGATGAAGAAATGGCAGAATTTGATGCAAAATTAATAGAAATTTTCAAACAAAAACAACTTGAGAAAACGAGAAAAAAAGGTAATCCAAATTCTCATGCCATGATGACATTCCCTCTTTTATACGCATCTCATTAACAACAAAATATGATTTCAATAGATGCCAAATATCAAGTAATTCATTTCAAGAACAAAGTTCTTGATCTCCTCGAAATATTTATACGAAAACAACCATCAAATCCGCTTGTATTCAATCTTATACTTCCACTTCTTGATGTTGCTCTAAAAACTAATTCCTCGTCTGACCAAGTCGCCAATAAAGCCAGAGGGTTACTGGTTAATAAATTGTGCAAGTCTAAAAAATATCCAGAAGCATTCACTTTAGATGACGAAGATCATAGTGAAGAAGATGATAAGCCTGTATTGGAGATATTGAAAGAAGTTCATCAATTGGCAAAAAAAGCTTCATCGAATCTTATTCTTGAAGCGTGTAGCAATCTTTGCGGATATCTCGCTAAAGCTTTAATACGATATTACGAAAACCTCACCAATTCAAAAACATCTAAAAATACCCAACCTTCGTCACAATTATATTCAAAAATTATAGAGATTTATCGTGAGTCATTAAATGATTTTATGATTAGAAAAAAGTCTCGTCTCAACACAGGATTTTTTTACGAGTTGACGCGGTTTCCCGAGGTTTCTTGGCTCTTAATCGATGATTTGCTTGAGTTTACGACACATCCGGAGAAAGTTCAAAATGTGTTTCGATTTGTTCAGTCATATGAAATGACAAGCAAATTTGTTAAAGTATTGATAGCGAAGGTTCGTGATCATTATTATCCGCTGTTTTACTAGTATTCATTATATTATTTATTAATTTCGTTCATTACTCGATTCGTATATAGAAATCAAGCGATCATGACCAAATATTACTCGACTTTGTACCCAAATATGAAAAATCCCTTTTACGAACATTTGATTACATTTTATCATCTTCCTCCTATGCTGAAAAAGACAACGCTTCTAATGATAGAGACAACGGGGAAGAGGAACAAGATAAAAGTAAATCTCAACCAAGTTCACAACCAAGAGTAAAAGTAGAGAAGCTTAAAGAACTATTAAAGATTATAATAACGATTATAAAAAATATTAAAACAAGGGCAAGTACTTTTCTGTTGTTGAATTTTACTTTCTCTTTTTTAATGATTCTCATTTTTATGTAATAGACACCAACAAATTCTTCAATATGGCAAACCAAATCGACCAATTCTCTAGAGCAGGCTCTGGTGTCTATTAGAGATCGTTCGTGCTACAAGTCTTCGAGTGCTGTTAAAGATTTGGTTAATCATTTATTAAAAAATATTCGATCGAATTGATAAGGAGGGATGAGAATATTGATTATCAAAGTACTCTAGAATTAAATTTTCGTTTACTGCACAGTATAATCTCAATTGTTACGTAAATTTTGAGAAGTTCATTTATTTAACGATTATATAAAATATATATACAGCTTGCATTATAACACGAAAAAATCAATAACGATAAAATATCAAACCCGATCACTATGTTGTACATGTCGATTTTACCATATAGATTGGATCGACCGCATTAATTTATCTGCCATTTATATCAAAGTTAGTCGTTTGATCTCATAACAGAGCAATAATGTGTTTAGATTCTTTATATTGAAATTTTTATTTATAGCAATAATTAAGTTGCCCTAAATCCAGAGAATGTACCTACTTTAAGATCCTCATATGTTCACCAGTATTCCATCGATTTTATAGAGAATCCCATTAACAGCTTCTATTTTCTTCCCTACAATATTTACATTGCCATTTAATTTAACGCCTTCCTTTCCTTCAGCCTTTTGAACATGAATCGTGGTTAAATTAGACAATGTATTCAATTCTCCATCGCTAGTCTCCGATTCAAATGAAACTGAATTTGGTACAATATGACCCAAAACAAATTGATGGAATCTTTCTTGGGCTACTGCTTCATCATCATTATCTTCTTCCCTGACAGCATTTGGTTTCACTTGTAAATTAAGGAAAACATGATTGATTGGTGCAAATAGTGTTAAAGATTCATTAGGATCGCTAATTTTTTCCAGCTATAATTAAGTTGTTAATAATAAAATTAGCTAGATTGAATGGTACTATAAAAACACAAGAAAAAAACATTACGAACAACATCAGCAAAACCACGTAAAGAATCCATAAATATTGTTAAATCTTTTTCTTTTGGCAATAAATCTTCTAATGTTGCCGGTCCAATATTGTACGGTGTAGTATCAGATTGTCCTACATTTAGCACACTTAAATCAGGAGGATTCTTGTTTACATGTGATGACGACATTAATTCATGAAACTTCTGAGGAAAAACGACTATTAATTGTGCAAAAGAACTTGTAAATAACAAAAAGAAGAAAATAATAAAATACGGTGGAAATAAACAGAATTCGCGCAGTAGAAACATTATCAAGGTAAATATAAGGTTGATGTAGCGTAAAGCAATTAATTTGTATACGTGTTGGTAACTGGGAGTATGTTAATTGTACAAGTACCTGGAGCTACAAGCTTTATTAAATTTCAAAGAAAGTGGTGAAACTGATTTGTATACAATGGGGTTCACGTGTCTGCCTTTTTTAGTCAGACTACAAATTGTGGGTAAATTACCTGTTTACTTATAGAGATATGCCAATATCACGTTTTCGATTTATATCTTTAAGCTTCAAGGCGCCGCGACTAACTTTCACAAATACTTCATTTAATATTCTTAAAAGAGATTACACGACACAGGATGTGATATCTTTTTACGATGATAAAGTGACAAAGGTAAGATAATTACGAGAGCCTTTTAGTTATTAAACTGCTTATAATCGAATTAATAATAATAATAATAATAGTATGCGGCGAAATCAATTCATCCTGTAACTTTGAAACAATTAATCCAATTTGGCAAACCACCACTGAACACCGAAACAATACTACAGTCTGCACGATATACACGATCAGAATTGCCCGTTCGACTGGCTAGACGTGTGAAAGCGCTGCAAAATTTACCGTTTATTGTAGGCACGAATCCCTATATCAAAAGTGTTTATCGATTATATTTTAATTCTTTTGAGGCTATTCGTGGTTTTCCCGAGATTACGAGTATCGAAAAAGATGCAGAGTTTGCCGCACTTTTAAAAGAAACTGTTGATCTACATGCGGTGAATATTCCTACATTAGCTAAAGGTTTTTAATTATTTGAACGAACAAACTATGGTCGTGATTTTGTATGCTGTGCTGCTGTGATATTTTAGATAAATTAAAATAAATTTTCTTATTTTATTTATTAGGTTTTCAAGAATGTAGAAAGTACATGAATTCAGAAGATATTAAGTTTTTTTTAGATGATATGATTCGGGCACGTATTGGTATCAGACTAATCGCCGAACAGCATATTGCATTATATAACGCATTACATAATGATCATGATCCAAATTTCATTGGGATTATAAATACACGTATGCGACCCGAGAAACTAATCGAACAATGCGCGAAATTTGTGCATGAATTATGTGAACTTCATTATGGCTCTGCCCCGGAAACAATAATCGATGGACAAATAGACACCACGTTTATGTACGTGCCAGTTCATCTCGAGTATATTATCACGGAGATATTAAAAAATTCACATCGTGCCACAGTGGAATATAGTCAAAAGATTAATAGATATGATTTACCACCAATTCAAGTCACCATCTCTCAAGGAAAAAATAATATTGGAATTCGTGTAAGAGATCAAGGTGGCGGTGTTTCGGCCAAAGATTTGCCCTCGATTTTTGATTATTCGTTTACTACTGTGCCACGAGATGAACATGAAGATCATCCGACAAATAATATTCTGGCGGGAGTCTCAACAATGGCTATGCAAGCTGGATTGGGAGGACCGATCGCTGGATTAGGATACGGGTGAATAACTTTGCCCTCTCTAAATTTTTATATTATATAACGGTTGTTGTTTTCCTAATAAATTAATAATTTTTATTTCAGTCTTCCACTGGCACGTAATTACGCAGAATATTTTGGAGGCTCGATGCATTTGATGTCGCTACATAGTCATGGATGTGACGTATTTTTATATCTCAAACAAATTGATGAATCTTTAGACCTGCAAATTTAACGCGTTTCTTTTTATCGTTTCTCAAAGATGGCAATTTCTATTGAGTATCACAAACTCATTTTGGCATCATTAATTGACGATCATCCTCTAAACATACAAGTTATTTATGTGAAATTTCTATACTTATAATATTTTTCTTTAACACGACGAGAATTATACCAAAATCTTTGTAATTACCTACTTAATAGTTAAATATTAAAGGAGCGGTATGATTCCATTCCAAGTGATTTGTGAAAAATCTCGCTGTAATTTAAAATGAAATATCTTTTCATCAATTATGTGCCGTGCGCGTCAGGTGACAGCTGAGTCACCTCAGATAGTGATTGTTAGGCGAGATGCATTGGATTATCAATGAATGATTTTGTTTTGATAAACATTTCTCAAAAACGCGCCAAAATTTCTTATAGGAGTGGGAAGATTTCTTTTAAATACACACAATTAAAGAATTACTATTAATTAGTGTTCTATTAGACCGTTGACATTTATTACGTAATATCGATTTGATAGTAAGAGACCTGCAAATGAAATACAAGACATCTCTAAATCAAACCCCCAAAATATTACGAAATAAATGTCAGTGCCCTTATTACATTAAAAATTAAATTAATAAATATGATAAATGCGAAAAAAGCAATATTATATGTCGGATTTTAAATATCATTGGTCTTTTTTCGACTCTTTTTTGGTTTCTGTAGCTGATGATTGCTCAGTATTATCAGCATCATTATCATCTACAACCTTATTAGGTTGTTCCGTTTCCGACCCGCCGCCCACTTGCCCATACTCATTAGCTCTTTTCTCGTCTTCCGGATAAACCCATCGTTGATACAAATACACAAAAAATACAACATCGTCTCGGAGACAAGCTAGCCGATGAAGCATGGGCATTTTAATACAAAACGCGAATAAGTCATCGATAAATGTGCCTAATGTTTTGTACATTAGTGTTTTCCAAGGCATATGTGCTACCTATAATAATCGAATATATAATTAGCGGATTGTTTGCTCAGTCATCAATTAATGGATGAATAATTAATATAGCAAAATATAGGTATACTCACACTTTTAAGCTTATAATTAATAAACAGCTGTGGTGTCATCATTATAAATCCAAAGGCATACACAAACCCAACCAAGGTAGCAATTATAAAGGAATACCAGCTTTTATGTGTATTATAAATTAAGCTGTATATTGCGTAGCCCATCAATAAAGGAAAGGCGACCCAAGACAAATATCGGAAGGCTAATTGATCGTATTCTTTGGTTTTTTTCTCCAGCTCGGAAAGTTTGTGCCTATCAACAAAACGTATTGAATAAGGGAAAATGGTGTTTTGCGAGGGTTTGATCTATTTTTATTCACACGTGTGATAATGATGAGTTTATTATAATCTTGACTAAATAAATGCTTTATAATCAGATAAACATCCAAACCTCAACAGTCATAGCTTTTTTAATTTTCCAGATCTCAATGGCCAATCCAATCCCTTGTCCAATCAAAATCATCCAACTTGTTTCTTCATTATTATCAAAGAGGTACAAAAATATAACCAACTGGAAGAAAATATTCATAAAAATGGTGCGAATTGAAATTCCCGTCATTTCTTTACGATTTTTCCAATCAGTGATATCTAGATGACGCATAAAAGAAATCACAAATCAGCAATATATCAGATATTATGTTCGTTTGATGAACGGAAGAAAAACAAAGTACTTGCCATTTTTAAAGGCCAAGAACTCAAAAAGACTATGTAGAAGTGAAACAACAAATGTCACGCCCAATAATATTGGATTGGTTTCTAGCAACATTCGCTTGAATTCATCAAATTCACTGTGAGCATTACCACCTAGCATGGCTGCTTGAGTTTGGAAAGATTCTTGCATTTGTGCGTACAGTTGGAACTTTACAAAGGATAACGGATAAAATTTCAAATTCAAAGGGAGAGTTCTGATTTTAGGTGTTAAAAAAAATCATTAACAACAACCTTACTTCATCCTATCCTTTCCCATTTTAAAATAACACTTACTTTACTGTTTCATTGATGGGTGTCATATGATCCCTTAAAATCCAGAAATCGTTAACGTACATTATTGGCAAGTAATAGCCGTGTTTACCAGATGGATCTCTTTTCCCACTCGATTCCAATGTAATTTCTATTTTTATGGATATACGCAAAATTAGAATCCATAAATGGTAAAATGCACCGAATAATAAACAAACCTGACGTGATCACTGGTGGGAACTGAGAATAGGGTAACATAGCATTATCGAATACTATATTCAAAGTTAAATTTTGACACCAATGAGAGACCGTAGGTCTATCTTTGCTACCACCATTGTCTTCCTAAATGAAAGGAAATAATTTATCCAATGAACTAAGTAAAAGATTATTATTATTAAATCTTATAATTCTTAATTACCTCCAACAATTCGGAATTTTCTGTTTCTTGGTAGTTATTTTCTTCGTCCCCACCGCCAATTAATTTCTTAGTCTTTATTTCTTTACGTTTCGGAAAATATCTAGTCAGCACTAAACACCACTCATATCAAAAAAGATAACAACAGACAATATCACCAATCAGCATGTTGAAATTTTAGTCAAACCAGCCATGAAGCTCCGAGATGTTTGATGATTGACATACATTTTCTTTTATATACTAGCATATTTTGATCGTACGCAGGATCTTGAGGATTAGGCGACGCTCGTTCCAGAGTCAGGTAAATATGTGCATATAAAGTTCCATTTTTTTGGACGCTCTTTGTCAATCAATCAATTGTTAACATAAGATATTTTGAATGGATGTAATAAGAAAAAGAATTTTCGAAATAGCAAATTGAATAGGAAAATGCATTACCGGAGATGTTTGGATTTCCATCGATTTTTCACGTTCATCATTCCAGTCTCCAAATCGAATGCTAGGCGCGTGCCAAACAAGCGCATCTGGGTCGTCGAACTGGACAAAATTTTCTTTTTCCGATATATAAACTTTTAAATCCTAATAACCAAAGTTATAAGTTTTAAAATGTTAATAACAAAGGGAATTCACAAAGGCTTAAAGATAATTAATCACTTATGCACACCATGTTTGAATCTAAGTGCCAATATGGTATAACCTTATCGAAGGTTGTCGGGACTCCAGGTTGCTGACTATGATTTAACACAGAGTTGTTGGCCTTCCTTGAATCTGAACTACCTAAATAATAAATATCATGCGTAACTACTATGTAAAAAAAAACCTTCCATGAATTCTTTTATTTCATACCTTTAAAAAACCAAGATATCAAATAAACAAAGACAAACGTCTGAAAGACAATTTGTATTATATTTTTGAAGTTAAACTCTAGTTCTTGTTGTCGTTGAGCTTGAGTGACAGCACTGCCATTGCGACTAGGTTGACCTCGTCCAGCTTGTTCATCTTTATTGTGATCGCTTTTTGGTATGGAATTTGACGAAGAGGGTATATTGGTGTTCTTTACTGGCTTTGGTGTTTTTGCTTTGGAGGAAGACATGGAGAATAACACTAATAA